AACAAAAAATAGTAACCCAATGAAGGGCGCACAAAACGATATATCGTACAAGACGATAAAAATACCGCTCTACCCGGCGAGATCACTGAGACCCCACCAGGTAAGCATACCGGAGTACCTACAGACCTTTTTTTATGGTAGACCGAACCAAACAAAAAATAGTAACAAAACTAGACAAGAGAGACAGGAGGTTTTTTTAACTATTTTCTTTTTTTTTTTCAACTTTTCGACGTGACAGAGACATAGACAAAGGAAGGGGAATAGAAAAAGGATGTGCCAAGCTACCCACGACAGGTTACTGAGACCCCACCAGGTAAGCATACCGGAGTACCTACAGACAGGTCTGTGTGTACTTCGCGAAGTTTTTTTTGGTGGCTGGCGAAGCGACATTCATTTTGCTTTGATGTGGATGCTCGCATTTTTATTATGGGCGGTATATTTCTGTTTACCATTCCAGGCAACTAAATTTATTTTGAACCTATTAAAACATAATATACTTTACACTTTAAGAAAATTTTGTTTGTTTTGCATGCAATGTTCCACACGTTTATTAATTAGGAGTATCAAATAGTGATTATTACATCCTGGCATAGATTATGTTAATGTAGACACAGGACCATACTATTTTCGGGGGTGCTAGGACATATTGTTCAGACTTCCGTCAACATTTCCGTAGCGATATATGGTAAATCACTTCCTCGCTGAATGTAAATTACTCCTTTGTATTAAAAAAAGCCCGTAATCTAAAGCGAGGGTTCATTGCCAATGTTGGGAAAAAGTTGCATTGCGGTTTGCTGCCCTCCTACCAACCGCGAACGTTCATCACATGCAGTTTACGTAGGAAATATGGACAATATGCCGTTTCAGTAAATAACCTGACATCTAAAATTGTTGAAATATTCACAGAAACTCAAATTACACTCTAGGTTGACCGTCTAATCGTGTGGTAAGCTACATGTGTGCTGTAGTGACATGAATTGGCACTTTTGTGGGGAGGGGGGCGTCCCAACAAAGGTCAACGACCTCCATGGCTTACGACCTATGTTTCACGCTTTTGCACTTCATAAATGAACAATTTTAGATGTCAGGTTATTAACTGAAACCAAGGAGGTTGAATACAATACTTGTATTTAACCTCCTTGCTGAAACGGCATATTGTCCATATTTCCTACGTAAACTGCATGTGATGAACGTTCGCGGTTGGTAGGAGGGCAGCAAACCGCAATGCAATTTTTTCCCAACATTGGCAATGAACCCTCGCTTTAGATTACGGGCTTTTTTTAATACAAGGAGTAATTTACATTCAGCGAGGAAGTGATTTACCATATATCGCTACGGAAATGTTGACGGAAGTCTGAACAATATGTCCTAGCACCCCCGAAAATAGTATGGTCCTGTGTCTACATTAACATAATCTATGCCAGGATGTAATAATCACTATTTGATACTCCTAATTAATAAACGTGTGGAACATTGCATGCAAAACAAACAAAATTTTCTTAAAGTGTAAAGTATATTATGTTTTAATAGGTTCAAAATAAATTTAGTTGCCTGGAATGGTAAACAGAAATATACCGCCCATAATAAAAATGCGAGCATCCACATCAAAGCAGAATGAATGACGCTTCGCCAGCCACCAAAAAAAACTTCGCAAAGTACACACAGACGTGTCTGTAGGTACTCCGGTATGCTTACCTGGTGGGGTCTCAGTGATCTCGCCGGGTAGAGCGGTATTTTTATCGTCTTGTACGATTTATCGTTTTGTGCGCCCTTCATTGGGTTACTATTTTTTGTTTGGTTCGGTCTACCATTAAACACGCCCATAGAAAATACAAAGTACCCACAGAAAAAACAAAGTACCCATAGAAAATACAAAGTACCCATAGAAAATACAAAGTACCCATAGAAAATACAAAGTACCCACAGAAAAAAACAAGTACCCATAGAAAATACAAAGTACCCATAGAAAATACAAAGTACCCATAGAAAATACAAAGTACCCATAGAAAATACAAAGTACCCATAGAAAATACAAAGTGGAATAAAAAATGCTAAGTGTACCTATGGGCCTTCGTAAATATAAGTTGAAAAACTTGAGTTTACCTTCAACACGTCTTGTGATTACGTGTTGGAATATAAAAAAAATGATACAGTCTTTGCAGACACCGAAAGATCTGCTTGGAGATTAGCGACATAAAGCTTATGCACAGAAGCGGATATTGATGTTTACACTGGACACATTAGACTACAGATAAAAGTTGTATCACAGGACGTAGGTAAAGGTAAATGTTTGCTGTTTCAATAACTAACAGCTGTAGATTCTCACACATCTGCATTCTGTAACATGATTTTTTTTTAATGTAGAACTCTTCGTTTCCATCGTAGCTTTGTTGTACGTATGTGTATCATTACAGACATAATAAATTGGAATTTGCTACCAAATTCAACGGAATACGAAATCACCTGTCCTTCAGTATGCCCAGTCATCAGCCATATCAATATCTTATGAGCTTAATAAGCAAATTGCTTAGTAATAATTAAAGGCTATGCAAAATGGGTCTCTTGGATTTGCATAATAACTAGGCCATGTTGATTTGATTATATGGACGACATCCCATGAGAACCCCCAAAACTGATGTAAGCGTGCGTATAAAAAAAGTTTTGCAAAAAAGCAAGTTGTCTTCATTATGAAATCTACGCGGTCATGAAGGTTGAACAAATGACTAAACACACAGAGTATGGCCTGGTATGGCGAATAATAGACTCTTCATTTTCATTTTTTCACATTTTCTTCTTGGCATACTACGACATTTCCAACAGTTTTTTTAATTCACGGCATATATTTGCTCATTTTGCAGCTGCGTTGTACGATTTATAATATGGTCGAATTTTTTTTTATTTGGAAACAGACGAAAATTCATGCGCGCGGGGATGTCATCCATAATTAAATCAACATGGCCTCAACTATAAATACGCAATATCGTCGACGCGTCATTCTCTCTTCTGTTCTCTGTGGCTGCCGTAACGATGAGGTTCCCTGTCCCGGCTCTAGTGCTGCTCCTGTGCGGCCTGCCCCATGTCCTGGGCACGTCCTGCAAACTTCTCCGTCCCACCAACACGGACGGGGCGGAGATGGGCCTGATCATCGTGCCGGGAGCCTACATCAAGGGCACGGCGTACCAGCCGCTAGCGCAGACCATCCAGGACCTCTCCCCGCACAAGTGAGTCATCGTGGGGCCGTTCGTGTGGCGTAACGGTAGAGTGTTCGTCTCAGAACCAAGAGGTCCCGTTTGAACATTTTGAAACATTCGGCGATCACATCCGCTGTTAACATACGTTTAAAAGATCGTTGTTACTGTATCACTATATGTTGATGAAAAATTTAAAAAAGGGGTAACATAGCATATGGTATACACACATGTACTACCAGTCAATCCTTACAATCTTTTAATGCTTAAGTTATATATTCCGTGCGCAATGTTAACCCAGTATGCCAAACGAAATGTAAACGGCAAGTCAATTCAGAACCCTTATATAAGGGAGCCCTGCGACTTTGTATCGTTAGGGGTGACGAATAAAACCACCATAATTATTATACTCAACTCAGCATCGAAACAGGAAGGCATAACCGCACATCCCTTGAGCAAAGAATTTTGCCAATTTTGTACAGCATGTAGCTTAATGAAGATGAAGTCCACTTTTTCGTAGATTGTAGTAATGATGGAAATAACCTGTGTGAATACAAGAAAGTTTCCTTATTTCCAATCTCTGACTAATGTTGAAAATTCATCTTTCTTATGCGACTTGATCATCCTAAATCAAACAAAACCCATTTCAAATTATATTTCTAACATCACAAAGAAACGAGAAGCCGAACCTCTGTATTAGCCGGTAGCTTTAGAGCTGATGTAGTTATTATCAGAAGTCCTGTTTGTACTACAATTATACCTTTTTATCGGTTTACCTGTACCTTATATATAAGGAATGTGTACAATAAAGGTTATCTATATATATGTATATTAATTATATCTTACTCCGTAGACTGTGGGTGGGCCTGACGGACGGGTACGTGACAGATCTGCCCAACCCGCTGGAGCTGTCCTCCGCCATCCAGGCGTGTAAACAGGCCATCGTGCAGGACGGCATGAAGACTGACGTTTTCTTCATAGGCGCACATTCTCTTGGAGGTAAGGCCAACTTGTCTAAGACGACCACCCATTGGGACCAAGGAAAAGTGTTCTTGTTAGACAAGTGTTCTTGTTGTTCAATAGACTTGGCAAAAAGACAAGAAATCCACCCATAGACCCAAAGCGACCGAGCCGGCGCCATTTTACATTGCGCAAAGACTGTCATGCTGACAAAAGCATTTACAAACTATTTAATCAATATGTTAGTTGTCAGCATAAAAGGTTTTCGGCCACACGCTTGAAAATAACGTGGTCGTCATAGGCAGAGATTGGGTCATTTTCTTTTTGTTTTGATCATTTATTTTGGCATTCTACGACATTAGTATCATTATCCAATATTTTTTTTGCAATTTGCAGCATACATTTGCTCATGGTCGAAAACTATTTTTGGGGGGGAGGGGGCGGACGAGAACATTCATGAGCGGGGATGCATCCATCCCAAATTTACATGTATTTTCGCCCAGCGCATTTTTATTTTTGATATATATATAGATAGAGCTTTACTGCACGGCAATTGTACATGGTACAATACATAAGAATTTCATTGACTCTACAAAAGTACAGCGACTTTCGTAAGGTCTATAACTAGTCATACAAACAGACAGTCACGTGTATGGAAACGACTATTTACCATGATAGTACAAAAATAAAAGGGTATAGAATCCTAGTTACTAGACATCAAGTGCTAATACAATATACAATCATACCTGCCACCACCTCTTCAAGCTGGCCACCTGTTTATGGTGACCGCTTTTTCTCGGTCCCAAAAATTTTCCCAATTGACACAAGCATTAAGCAACCTGTCCAAAATGACCACCGTGACCGTCCTGAGTTGGGTCCTCTCAAGGCCTGATACCAGCCTATGGGTGACCACATCCGATTTTCGATCATTTTGAATTTAAAACCAGGCAGTTTGCCTTGACTGCTGGATGATGTTTTTGTTCGACGTAAATTGTTCCATGTGTCACCCTCCCCAGATGCATTTACAGTATTTGACATTATATATTAGAACATCTCGACTTGGAAACCAGTTATGCCACAGTCATGTTGTAAGGCGACCCTCTTCTTGGAGACCACCTGTCCAAGGTGACTGTACTATCATATTTCCTTGGTAGGTACGTTCCTGCAGATGTACCTGTCTGACAACCCACGCCAGGCGAAGGGCATGTTACTGTGGGGGTCGTACCTGACCAGCTCCTACCCCATGTCGACCTTCCCCGTCCCCGTACTCACACTCAACGGCGATCTGGACGGTCTGGTCAGACTGGGGTACTCCTGGAAGAAGTACAGGTCAGCTTTTTTTTTATTTGTTTTTTTATTTATGAAGATTTGCCACATTTGTGGAAGGATTGACATAACAGGTGACTATCACTTCAAAGATGTCAAAGATGTCAAACTGAGACCAGACTGGAAGGTTTGAACCACTCACGCCGGGAAGGTCCCCTATTCTTTTCGATAAGTGTGGTAGGTTCTTTAACGTGCTAGGCGTGTGGCTCTCCCAAACACGGGACCTCCATTTAACGTCCTAGCCGAGGGACGCCCCTAACCGAAGCTAGGTACTGATTTTCACCCGAGTGAAGTGAAGAAAGTCGTGTAAAGTGCCTTTCCCAAGGACACAAGATCGGTGACAAGGTGGGGTTCAAACCCGGGACCTCTTGGTTCCGATCCGAAGACGCTACCGCTACGCCACCCGACTTGGAACCAAGAGGTCCCGGGTTCGAGTCCTGATATGCAACCGATCTTGTGTCCTTGGCAAAGGCACTTTACAGTTCTCAATTAACTCAAGTGAAAATGAGTATTGTCAACCTGTCCTGGAAGTCACTGTGTAAGTCATGAAATGTTGGAATAGGAAAAAAAACATTTTGAAAAACTCAATAATTTACTAAGTTGTACCAAATGTTTAAGAGCGTCGTCAGAAAGAGAATGTATTTCAAACTCTCTGTATTTCTGTACTGTACAAACTGTTTCAAATTGATAATTCTAAGTTGCCAATTTGCTTGGCTGTGAATATACATGTAACACATATTCCACCCTATTTCGTTTTCTTCACAGGGAGTTTGTAGCCATGGACGGCAACTTTTCCACTGCATATGTGTACCAGAAACCGGTGGTCGTTGTACCTGGACTAAACCACGGACACGTGAGTATGATGATCTTGTAATTGTTGCGGTCGCTATTGACAGTGAAGAATGCAACCATTATTTTGTTTTCTAGGCGTTTGGTAAGTAACATGCATATGCTTAAGTCATGTATACAATGAATACGTCTTTTGTGAACGGTTAAGCCATACAATGACTATTTATTTCTCATTGACCACATTTGTGGAAGGGTTGACATAACAGGTGCCTGTCACCTCTTCAAGATGTCAAACCGGAGACCAGACTGTAAGGTTTGAACCACTCACACTGGGAAGGACTCTTATTTTCAATAAGTGGGGTGGGATCTTTCTCGTCCTCAAGGTGTGCCTCTTGGCTTTTCGCCCAATTCGAGAAGACGGCCCCAACCGAAGCTAGGTACTCATTTCTACCTGAGTCAAGTTAGGAAGTAGGTGTAAGGTGCATTTCCCAAGTATACAATAAGGGGCCTGCCAGGGATCTGAGTCCACCAACCTAATCACACGAATACTTATTGGTCTCCTTCCGTCTATATTTCCTTGACCCCAGATCGCGTCAGGACCCATGCCTTCAAACGTGCTGAACATGGACCTTCCTGCCGAGATGACCATGGAACAGGCGCACAGGCTGATAGCCAACTCTTCCGTCAACTTCATGGTCGCCAACAGTCCCAACAACACCGCAGCCATGCAGGCAGCGGCGGTCAAACACCTGCGGACTCAGATGTAAGTAGAATGTTTACTATGTAGTAAGTAGACAGTCCAACTTCTGACCGCTAAAGTGTAAGAGTGTAAGAGAGCTAATCTCAACGCAAATCTTTTGGTGGCAGTATCCACTGGCCAGGCAGTTACCATTTCGGCACTCATGTAAATGTTTGCGGCAAATGCATCTTTGCAGCCACCAAAAGATCTGTTTGGGGATATTATAAGAGGGCGCCAAATACAGGGTGGCGTCGATCATGTCAAAGATGCGAAAATTGTACTTATGATGGGGTGATCCTTGAAAAGCACTGTATGGGGGTTTTGAGTACTGCATTTTGTACATGGGGTTTTTTTTAAACACTGAAAAGCACTACATGGGAATACGTGTTACTGAAAGGCACTTGGGGCTTTTGAAAAACTATAAACGACACTGCGTGGTAGGTTTAATGTTGCAGAAAGTCAGTGCAGCACTTACTAAGTATTGAACATTGACGTTATACTTGAACATGTATTCTTGGTACAGGAACGTCACGGGTAGGATTCTGGCCCCCTTCGACATCATCTCCGCTCTCGACTATGACGGTAAGACCTCGCCCTGGGTCACCACAGCCCAGCAGAGCATCATCGGAGCTCCGGCCGCGTTACAGAGCAAGCTCACGGTCAAGACCAAAGTCGTCGACAACATCTTAGAGCTAGGTGACAACAAACCCAAAGTAGAGAAGGAGGGAGACATGGTGACTGTACAGACCTACACTAAGCTGGACTATCCGCTGAACCCCATCGACAACTCGGAGCCGTACGTGTCTACGAACATGCTGTCCACGAAGATGAAGAGGCAGTCAGCGGTTGTGCAGGAGCTGGGTCCGGGGGACTATAACAGTCCCATCACCTGTAAGGACTTGAACCAGGTGTGTACTACACATTAACGACATTTCCCCGATCTGTTCCCAAATACCAACCGACCAGGTTCAGGTGACGTTCGGGAGCGTTTTGACCAGATTTAGACCACGCCTACCGTTTTATACGAATAGAAACGAATTTGAGTTAAATTGGAGTCAAATTTAACCCCTGAACACGCCCAAAACGCCAAATTCTGAATGGATGGTTGGTGTTTTCCTAACTTTAATACGGTCAAAGACCAGCCAACTATGATCGAACCTCACGTGGAACGTCGACTCACGTCAATGTTTTAAACATGTTGAAACATTTGCAGCCGAACTGTAGCCGAATTCGCCAAACGCCAGCCGACTTTGTGCCGACTCCGAATCATGGTCCCGGGGAGTTCGCTAGCGTTCGGCTAGCGTTCGGCAGGCCAAATTCGTGAGACAGGGGCTCTTAGCTTGAGGAATGAGTCTAGAAAAGAAACATACATACTTATACCGAAGATGTTCGAACATATTATGACATCTAAGCACTACGATGTAAATGAAAAACTATGTAAATTTGTCCACACGTTTCAAAAAGAGAGAAGAGATCCTGTAGATAGAGACGTAGCACAGAAATGTAACACTTGTTTCTTCTATACCTGTACCCAAGTATCTAACTTAGTGCATTTGGCCCATGTAGGGTGTGAATATGCAATTAAGTTCATTGTCATTGTCGTTATATCCAGATCCTTTTGTCTTTTTTCCAGATGGCTTTCCAGATTGCTTCCACCGCAGCTTCCAGCACCGCCATGACCAGGTACCAGCAGAAGGGTCACCACCTGACGTTCGCGGATGACGAGATGAAGAGTACGGGGTCAGGCTGGCTGTCAGGGGCGCTCACGTTTGAGGACCAGGGGGATGGGACAGTTAAGGTGGGTGTTCCTATTTACTTAAAGGTACCCTATGCAGTTTTATGCTAGAAAACTACATTTTTCAATGCCAATATTCTAGTCACTTATCTACATACTAAGTTGAAACAACACTATCCCAATGTATATCAACATTCGTGGAGCAAAAATGCCCAAAATTGTGACGGAAAACGATTACTGGTAGGATCCTGGGCCTCGGATTTTTGGGTACCACCAAGAAAATAAAGGACTCATCTTGAGATTGACAAGTTACAAAAATAACGAATGCCCAATTAAGAAAATTGTGGTTGTGAGAAAAAGAACTTTACTATCAGTTGTTTGTAAGACTAAGAAGTTTAAGCTTTATTAGGTTGATGAACTCTACTAAATAACATTACTTCCGGACGTTTCTAGTGACATCCGTCACTCTTCTTCAGCGCCACTAATTAAACTGAGATTTGAGTTTTATCAATGCTATAGCTGTATACTGTAGTTGTATTGTACCATTCCCTACAGGTGACGAGCCCGGCCCTGGTGACGGGTCTGGACGCGTGGTTCGGGTTTGACGGGATGCACTACTGTAACAGTATAGTGTATAATTGTATTGTACCATTCCCTACAGGTGACGAGCCCGGCCCTGGTGACGGGTCTGGACGCGTGGTTCGGGTTTGACGGGATGCACTACTGTAAACTGCTGTCTCCGTTCCGCGCGCTGGAGTACATCTACACAGACAGTCTGCGTCATGTGTCATCATAGACATAGATAACGGTTCCCTTACATCCAAACCTAAATATTTATACTGTAATTACTTAAAGACAGACTTAAAGACAGAATAATACTTTAATAAAGATAACTTAGAGTAGAGAACTTTATTGACACAACAAAAAGTACAGCGACTGTCAATAGCAGAGAAGAACTGATCAGACATTTTCAAAATACACATTGACTGTTAGGCTGTAACATTGCATCAGAGATGGTTTAGTCCATAGAATTCTTAATTCGAATCATGCAAGGTACAGTAAATGTTACTGCAGCAGCATATAGTGTTGAATTGAAACAAAAGCCTCTAAAGTACAATGTATGCCACTCGTTTTTGTCTATTATGATAATAAAGGCTTTGCCTTTTCAATGATACATAGCAGGACAAAGTACGACTAAAATTGTGTTTCATTTTCAACATACACATTGGATAATTTGTCATGTAACATTTCCAAAAGATATGATCCAGTCAATGTGATTATTTACTGTAGCAGCATATAATTAAAAGAAATACATTGAGGATTGCGCATAATTTTTATCTATAATAAGTACAAGGCTTTGCCCAATAACTATTTAGAATTCATAATTTTACATTGATATAGATACAGTGCAAAATGAACTGTCTCAGACAGCATTTTTTTGCATACAGTCCAGAATACATACACTAAGATTAAAACCTTTTGCATATAAAATCACTACATTCCTCTAAATGGTTTATATCTCATGTGATATCTTTTGATGCTGTTAAACAGCATTCAACTTTTAAAACTTTGTAAAATTTACCATTTAGCCTAGTAAAATAAAAAAAAAATTTACAATTCAAATGCATCTACCTTGCAACGTTTTAGGAACATTAGACAAAAAACCATTAAACAATTAAACAAAAAAATTACACCAAAGGCACTTACGTGTTGAAGAAACAATAGCCAGATGAAATGATTGTCAATAGCACTTGATGCTTTAGGTATACTTGACTTACAATATACTAGTACTAAGAATGTAATGCTACCTACTTTAAGTATGGAAACATAATCTGGTGAATACAAAGCCAGAGGAACGTAACATTAACAGAGGGTGGCAGTGGCCAAGAATTGCACAAAGTGAAAAACTGAAAACTTGAATAATCAACAAGAGCCAAAAAATTAAAAATTCAGCTTCATGGGGATGTCTTAGGAAGTATTGGATAATGCATGAAATGACCGAACAATTTTTCAATTTTTCTTTCTGATTTTTTTTGGGGTAAACGTCTTGAGCTCTCATTTAAGCCGGTCAGTATTTTTCCTCATGATTTTCCTTGGTTCTTCCTTCCATAATTTAGGTGCAATAAAATTTCCTATCAATGCAGCATACACCCACTCACTCACTATCTCTTTAATGTCTTGTGGTCCTCGTTGCTCGAGGGTTGGACATGTGACAATAAACTTGCTATGACCATTTTTCCATTGAAATTGAAACAGTGACAGGTACTGTGAACTCTCTTTTCCTCTTTCAAGTAGATGTCGGGTAGATATTGTAAATAATGATTTACGTGTATTCTGTGGTACTTTTATATTCACAGTTTTTGAAGTCACTTCTGTACCACAAACTTATTACTGTGAACAAAAATTCGCCAACTTTGTTTTGCTGCACCTACGAACGTATAGTTCTGCAAACATGGTTGCCCAATTTTTCTCAGACAGCGAACTTTTGCCACCGCAATCATAAAGTGATTTACAGTTATTGTTTTATACATAAGGTTCCTCAGTGATGGGGAATGGTGCCTTGGACCACTTAGAGATGGGTCTGAGCTGTCCGTCACCAAAGTCAAACATGAAGCTGCTCACATTCATCCCATAGCCAGTCTCCACCTGGAAGGGAACATGGGACAAAATTCATCACTCTCTCTAGTACGTGTTACATGCATATACATGTATGATGGAAGCAGGCAAATGAAAAAAAAAAATTTGGCAAAAAAAAGCTTCCTTCATTATGAAATCTACATGGTCATGATGGTTATACAAATGACTAAACACACAGAGTATGGTATGCTGAATAATAAAAGACTCCTCATTTTCATTTCTTCACATTTTCCTTTTTTTCCTTGGGCATTGATTTCAGTCTTCTAGTACAGTACCGTTTTTTAAATATTTGTCTGCAACCTAAGATATATTTACTCATTTTGTAGGTGCTTTGTACAATTTACAGTATGATAAAGAACTTGTTTTTGGAAACGAATAAAATTTATGTGTGTGCAGATGTCATCCATAATGAAAATGGCCTACATTATATTATAGTAACTGATATTTGTGCATTGAGGGCATTGGCATATCACTTGATTACAGAATAAACAGTTATTATATACCTGAGAACATTTATGGGTAGCAATAATGATCAGACAGACCCTTAATTTTATTTGTCGGATTGAATCATATACTAGTACACAGAGATATACACAGTGGTAACCAGCGATTGAAATGTTAAAAAACATCTAAACAGGTAAAAAATGCTAAAAACGAGTTTGTTACCAAAAGGCAGCCCCAGTATCGAGAGATGAATTTTACCTGTCCTTTCTTGTACTTGATGATTGGACCGTACTGATTATCACAGGTTGGGTTGCCGCATTTGATAACACCTGGAAATTGAAACAAAAATGTTTGAGTGGAGTCTACCATAAGCTGATTGCAACAACTGCAATGGAGGTATAATAATTTGTATATATAAATAATTTGTTTATTACCTCCATGAAATGGAAGGTATTGTTTTTGGCGCGTCTGTGTGTGTGTGTGTGTGTGTGTGTGTGTGTGTGTGTGTGTATGTGTGTTTGTGTTTCCGCTTTTTTGTACCTTCACAAGTTCATAACGCCTTCATGGATTGTGGTGATATTTGGTATGCTGGTAGGTGTTAGGGGGGCGAAGGTCAAGGTCAAATATGGGCCTCCTGGTGGATGGCCTTGGTAGTGCAGTAGCACTTCCGGTTTAATGAGGAATCTCCTTTGCAGCCAACAGATGTGTCATTGTGTGGCTATCGAGTCAGTGGGCTTGGCACCCGGTTTGATTAATGGGGTTCCCTCAGGGAAAAAGGTGACCTATTACAGGGTTAGGGTTTGTATTAGCTGCAGGCCTGATTAGCTGTGTGTTTGAAACACTTAGTGTACTGTATACAAAAACTCATATATTTCATGGAGGCGTGTCTGTCTGTGTGTGTGTGTCTGTATGTGTGTGTGTCTGTGTGTTTGTGTTTCCGCACATTTGTAGTCAGCATAACTCCATAACGCCTTTATGGATTGCGATGATATTTGGTACGCTAGTAAGTCTTAGGAAGGCAAAGGTCAAGGTCAAATATGGGCCTCCTGGTGGATGACCTTGGTACTGCAGCAGAACTTCCGGTTTTTGTATCTTTTGTCCTAAACATGCTATGGTCTTGACTTTTTGGTGACAGCTTTTTCTGTCAGAAATAAGTGGCGTGAGTTTGGTCCCCCTAGCAGCTTGTTTTGGAACTGCAGGAGATTTTCGGGCGAAATCTTTAAAAGCCAATAAGTCCAGATAGGAACAAGGTATTATCATCATTTTTGGTAGGTAGGTAGCTGAGAGAGAGATGTACATAATTAACTACAAATTATGCAAATGATGACTTAATTTGCATAATTAATGAGGAAATTCTATAATTACAGTGTTTTACATTATAGTACTTTCATACATGTAATGTATGTAATCTATGGCAGATGGAACATCAACAGATACCAATTATGCAAATGATGACCTAATTTGCATAATTAATGCGAAAATTCTATGACTCCTTAGAGGTAAATGATAGGAATTTCATACTTGGTACATGTGTAAGTTAATCAAAAGTTAACATCACGATGCATTTATTATGTTAATGTGGAGGTAATTTACATAATTAAAGAAGAAATTCACATTTACATGTCAAGCCCATATTTCATGGAGGTATGAGATCTCGGAACTCTTGTATACATATGTATGTATGTATGTGTGTATGTATGTATATACACAAAGACTTCATTTTGTTCATTGCAGCTATAGAGAGTACAATTTGAGATAAAATGTGTTACGTCTTCCACAGTACTAGTATTCAACGCACAGCATTTGCAGCAACTTCGTACACATGAGACTTCTTACATGTATGCCACCCTCTCGCATTTCAAAAGGGGGTGCACTAATATACGATGTACTTACCCAAAGTGTCTGTGGTCCGATATACTTGTGGTCGAGTCCTGTAGACTATCTCACACTTCTCAGGAAGAGATGGCTCCCTACAGATGTAGTTGGAACCTTTGCGTATGATCTGAGTGCCGTCACAGACTTTGTGGTTACACTGTTCACAGTACACCTTCACATCTTTTGCTTCAAAGGCACTGCTTCTTGTAGATTTGTTCCTCAGCCTTGCTTTCCAGTTCTCCAACTGTATTCTCTGTAGAAAATTTCATTCAAAAGTTACACACAAAAGGTGCAATAGTACATTCATAAAATGGCATATTAGAACATAATCTTTCTCATACTAAAACTTTACTGTACAGTTGTACATTTAATACTTCCATACAATAGGCCACACCGATTTACACATTCAATCAAGACTGGTTCTCAAATTTGCCCACTTTCTTTTTTCAGATTTACAAAATTTTAAAACAAATAGTATTCAGGTTCTGAATCAACTCCAAAATGCCTATATTTTGATCAAACAGTTGAGGAAAGTCCTTGCCTTCCTAGTAGTTATTTTTTATTTTCCATCTAACAGTGGTTTGATTTAAAGTTCAAAATCCATTGTAATTATAAACCAGCCTGGTAGAAACCACCAGACTGCTTTTTCCATCCCCAAATTGGACTGGACTGCTTTTTCTGCCAATTGGACTGGACTCCTTTTTCCACCAACCCTTTTTGCTTTTGCATTTGTGCTTGCTATCTAATGCTCACAAATCAATGTGAATAAAATAAAATAAAATTTAGGGCTATCAAAGGATGTAGGCCTGTTTTTATTCTAACTTATTGCCTCTTGCTTCATGTGTTTTTTTCTGAACAAATTTGTGAACCAACAAATCAAATTGGTGTGGCCTTAGAATAGCTAAATATGATGAATAGGTTAAGATAAGTTCACCTGTTCTGCTTTGACTCTGGTGTCAAAGTCCACCTCGGTTAGCTTGTCCATTTCTTCCAGTGCCTCCATCATGAACTTCTCCTTTTCTTGGTTCTCCAGTTCTCTCTTCTCATTGGTAGAACCTCTGCAATTAGATCAACAAAGTAATACTAATAGGTGATCAAAATCATTACCTTCGCAAAGAATGTTATGTTTTCGAGGCTCTGCATGTGTGTGTGTGTGTGTTTGTTTGTGTTTGTGTGTGTCTGTCTGCCAACAGCACAACTTGAGAAGGCTTACATTTAGATGGATTAGCTTGACAGTTGCTACGTGTAGGTGGGTAGGAGTTGACGAGACCTCAACATGATTAGATTTTGGGCCCCCTGGCGGGTTATGGTACTGCAGTGGAACTTCCAGTCTGATATCTCCTGATCTAGACATGCTAGGGTCATGATTTTTGGATGGTGGTAGCTCTTGTGCTCGGGAAGAAGTGATGTAAGTTTGGGCCCCCTTGTGGCTTGTTTGGGAACTGTTGTTCTTGTTATTGATTTTTTTGCGTGTTGACATTTTCAATTCTAGCATAAGGGCATTTTTCACTTTTAAGTTCCACTTACGCAGTAACTAGGAGGTAGCACTCTGCGTCCTTGGCACGTGCCCTCCCTCGAGCCTGCACAGATCCGATCTCGTTGGAGACAAAGTCGTAGCGGATCACAAAGTTGCACTTAGGCATGTCCAGACCCTCCTGGGCCACGTCTGTTGCCACCAGCAGGTTGCAGCCATCCTCAGATGAAAGTCCTAAGAAACACAATGTACATTGAGGTCATCCTTCAACATACAAAGTAATTAACATTCAACAGCTATCAATCAGACATTATGATAATATTTGATATCTTATTTACTGCTTTAGTGCTTGTATAGGACAACTAAAAACTATAAATTCTGAGGGAAATATACTACTGCCCAAAAATTATGGCAAGTGAAATGTGATTAATAAACTTATCATAAGGCCACACCAATTTATTTCCTTGGTTAACGGATTCGCCGCTTGCTTTTTTTGCCGAATGAAAATAAAAATAAAAAACGTCATAGTTTAGACCCCACAGGCCGGTAATACCCTGAACAGGGAGACCCCAATGAAATTGCTGCAGTTGATACGAATGTCGCTAGAGGCGCTCCTGCACACATAGTCACATGACGTAAAGTACCCAATCGTGGATTGTTTTACTTTCTGACCAATCAGATGCGATGTTCTGGAACCATGTTGGCTCAGTCATTTGTTTTGTTCTGCATGGCGGGAGCCTCATGGCGGACAAAATTTGTGGCGGAAGCTTAAATTGTTTGAGAAAGCTGGAACTTTGGATCAAGGCAGAATCTAGGTACAGTACATGTAAAATTGAATAAATCTTGTCCCCTTTAAAGTTAAAATTGCTTGTGAGAGTTAACATTCGTGTCATGTTTTCGAGTATACGTACATATGATGATGGTGGAAATTGGAAGTAACATGCTAAAACTTGTTTTCTGCATTTTGCTCGTGTACGAAAAAGATTATCAACCTAATGGTGTGGATAGCAAATAAAACACAATACGGTACATCCTCTCTTGTCTTTTGTTTCTTTCCCAGTATTTTCGTAACTTAATAAGCAGTCTGGATTTCACACTACATGGCTGTATGGCAGGTAGTATCAAATTTTTATTTTTATTTTTTTTCGCCCGCCCGCTCCATTTTTTTTCTACAAAAATCCGTTAACCAAGAAAATAAATTGATGTGGCCTAATAATTATATATATATATATATGACTGGTTTATTTTTTGGAAAAACATACATAATACAGCAAATTAAAAGCTTTTTTGCAGCCTAGATTCTGGATTATTTCTAATATAAGTATTCTTTCAGATTCCAGCAGGGCGAGGGGTGATCAAAAAGTTCTCGGTCTCACCTAGAAAATAAAGGTCAAACTCCTATTCTTTAGTATAACTGTATACTATGACGTCTTACATCACTGCACACAAAAATTCAAATTTCTATATTCATTAATTAGCACGTGATGCCCCGGGAAAATGGGGTGGGTGAGGGCAAAATCACAAAATGGTCGCAACAGAAGCGTGTGCTGTGATCAAGTGTATCGATAAAAAGGGATGTCTCCTAAGGAAGTCCATGAAGACATGGTCAAGGCACTTGGTGATGACTCCCCTTCTTATTAAAATATAAAGAAGTGGGTTACTAGCTCTAAGCGCGGCAAGGAGAGCACAAAAAATGAACATAGGTCAGGATGCCACAAATCAGCACCACGGACAATCCAGTTGAGGCCACCCATCACATGGTAGTGAATGACAGATGTGAGACTGTCCAACATGTAGCAGAGTCTTTGGCCTGTGTTATATGACTCAGTTCACAATGTTTTGTCATACATCCTGGGCATGAACAAACTATCTGCATGGTGGTTGCCTCGAATGTTTTCTGAACATCAGAAGTTATACAGGCGGGACATTTCAAGGAACGAATTCAGTCCAATGCATGCAATTTCCACAAAACATTTGTAACCCAAGATGAGCTGGGTTCACCACTTTCACCCCGAATCAAAACAGCAGAGCAAACAATGGATGAAGAATTTTTCCCGGCCCCTCAAGACGTTTTAGCGACTTTAGTCCGTTGACAGGGTTTTTGCCTCTGTTTTCTGGGACAGTAAGGAAGTAATCATGATTGACTACCTGCGAAGGGGTTAAAGCATCAATGGGGAGTACTATTCAACAGAATTATGACAGTTGAGGACAACGATCAAAGAGAAAAGGAGAGGAAAGCGCCGAGCTGGCCTGCTAACAATGCACCTGTCCACACGGCACAGGAGTCATGATCAGTGGCAGCAGTAAACGAATTTAGGTTTGCAGTCTAACCCCACCCTTCCAATTCACCTGACCTAGCACCCTCGGACTTCTACCTGTTTCCTAAACCCAAGTTCCACTTACGTGGTCAACATTTTTGATGGTAATGATGACGTCATCTATACGTTATAGGCCAAGCTGGGGGGGTCCAGATTCAACCTTCTTCCACAAGAGGAAAATAAAGCTGGAACATCACTAGACCAAGTGCATTGCAGTTAGAGAGGACTATATTAAAAAATAGTGTAAGAAAAATTTTACTGCCATGACGTTTTCTAGGTGAGGCCGAGAACTTTTTGATCACCCCTCGTATATCCACCATACACAGTAACAAGGTCAGAGCTAGGGAGGCCTGCCCGACGCAGCCCACTCAGGCAGTATAACCTTCTACTGCCCTTGGACACCATGGTGTCAACTTGATCAGACCACCGTAGGTCAGAGCGTATGTGCAAGCCGAGTAACTTTGCTTGTGTAACTATGTTAAGTGGCTGACCTCTGAGTATAAGAGGGTGCATTACTGGGGGGGGGGGGAGGAGGGTTTGCATGAAGCAAAGTACATTGCTTTACATTTTTGGAGATTACATGTGAGTAAAATGGAGTTCAGTTTGGTCCAAGTGTCCAAGGAGTCAAGGTCGGTCTGAAGGTTTCTTGGGGTTGACATTTTTTGTAGTCTAGTACTTCCAGTGTGGGTCATTGGTAGAGGGTTTTGCATTGTTGATCATGGCTAGGAACACAAGTGGGCCCAGTAAAGTGCCCTGGGTCACTCCAGACATTAAGGTTTCCCAGCCCATCCTCTGAAGACCCCAAATAAACTAGTGCACGCAGGGCAGGGAATAAAAAAACTTCCAGCCCTAAAAATGCTGCTAATCCAAAGGAATACAAAGCTGGTGTTTGTGAATTTTCGGTAGTACATAGTGACTTTTACAACAAGTCAGCACATGATGGCCTTTTGTGGCACTGAGTCGGCACTGTATTGAGTTCTTGAGTTCCATGGAGCTTCAGTAGCCTGGCTGGGTGCCATCATCCAGAGTTACCACCGGCTCCTTATTGTCACTAGCTACCATTGACTATGGAGAATGGCACCCAGGCCAGAGCCTTGGAGGAGGGGATATTTTATCGAGAACAGGCAAAAATCAATGCACGCACAAATGTCATCCATAAAATCAGTGTGGCCTTACTCAGTAGAAATCACAATGAAAAAAAAGTAGATGTCACCATACCTTTCCTAAAACTTTTTAACACTGCCATCTGTTGTGCATCAGTGATGGCCTTGTCCTCCAGTTTTCCCTGCCCCACCAGGCGCTTGGCACGCATCTTCCCATGTAGCACCTCTTGTTCCTCCACATACTGGATAATAGCCTCTGTCTCCCTGCGCTGTTGTGTTAGCACAATACCTGGAGGGTCAAGAAGTTGAATGAGATATTTAAATTATAGAATACATCAAAGTACATCAGTGAAGGTTATACATCCAGGTCTAGATACTAAAAAAAACGTAACAGTTGGAGCAACTGGATATGATTTTGGAAATATATCTAGTCAGACAATTTTTCTGTAAGTTGGCATCCACTATCTTTTGTCAGTGACAGTGTAGAAATGTTAACTTCAGCTGAATTTGAGATTTCTCTAATGAATGCTGCCTGCCTTCATATCCAGTTGCTTGTCTATTTTTTAGTAACTTATTTGATTACAGAATACGATGTACATATAGCAAAAGGTGCCAAAATTGATATGATAATGTTACAGCTGCTATAACAAAACATGGCAAGGTTATGGTGTGTTATTCTGCAGTCTTGTTCTGAATTAGCTTATTTTACACTGAATAGAGTACCAGTGGATTATCACAAAGAGTTGAAAATCAAATCAGACTATTTTGGTTTTGAAAATATCTTATACATGTGTACCATGTACCTAAGAAGGACCAAACAAACCATAGGATTCTTCCTCGTTGAACTTCTGTATGAGTAGGCTCCTGAGTTGCTGCAGCATGGGGTTGGGAAACTTGGTCTCCTCTTCCTCCGCATACACACACAGCTCATCCCTGATCTCGTCATACTGTTGGTAGCAGAACTTCTCTGTTGGAAGCTTGGGCGGGTCCTTCAACCCTTCGCGGGACTGGTAGATCTTCTCATCGAGGTACTGTATAGCGTCCACTGCTCGCAGTTTAGAATACATCCTCAGTGCCCTGGAGAAGAGAAAATAGAGGGAAATGTACAAAATATGTTTCAAGCAGCTCATAAGTCCGTTCACCTATTGTATAAGTTGTACTGTTTAACGGGGTCATGAGGCATGTTCGGCTCAGAATCAAGAGGTCCTGGGTTTGAATCCTGCAATGTGACCGAACTTGTGCCCTTGGGAGAGGCACTTAACAATTGACTTTCCTGACTCCTTAACCTTCAGTTAGGGACGTCCCTCAGGTAGGATGTGACATGTAGGCTCTGTGTTTGGGGAGAGACACACACCAGGCACGTTAAAGAACCCACCACACCTTTCAAAAAAGTAGGGGCATGCCAGGTGTACATGCCACAGTGGTCCAAATCCTACTGTCTGGCAGTTGGTGATTCAATACAAATCTCCCAGATGGAGGCCTGCAGCTGGCACACCTGTCTCACATGGTGTACATGGTGCTTTAATTCACATATCATCCCCCCTATGTAGACGTTTAATTATATATACATGTATAAGCAACCCCATTGTGTATCAGCAAATGAAAGGTATATCACCCTTTAGCCCAAATGCAGCAATATATCCACTATAAATTAACTTAACCAGAACTTATAACACATTAGAGATAAGATTAAAAGTTTCAGGAATATACCTCACCTGTTAAAGTTGAAAAGGTACTTTGACACAATCAGTTTCTTTCTCGCAGACATAGCCTGAGCCTCCTTCTTCCTCTCCACGATCCAGCTCTCGCACTGCTGCGTCCCGCGGTCGTACGGACACGTGTCCGTGAACACCCTACTCTCCAGTCTCTGCATCAGGCTGTCCAGCGCTGTGCTGAACGGGTCGTGCGGCCTGCGCGGCTGGCCCGACAGGATGTGGATGGCGTCTGGAGTGAAGACGTGTCTGCGCAGCTCTCCACGGTTCTCCTTCACGTGGTCCACGCGGCTGGCATCTAGGCTGGCGCAGAGCTTAATCAGGTGCTGCAGAGCGTTCCCCGATTCCCCTGCGCCGAGGGATGCAGTCAGGCCGATGATCTGTGGTAAAAAAAACAGAAGCAATGTAAAAAAAGATTACAACAAATACACAGCTAGAAAGTTAACATTTGCAAAGCAAATGCACAACGTTTACCTTTAAATTTGCATATGGTCTGCTCTGTTAATTCTTACCCAAACACATTCATATACATGTATAATTATATAGTGACAGGAGTCTGAATCCCTCCTGCTATAAAATTGCAACATGAATTAATGTAACCCAACACTAGCTACCATGGTGACAGACGTCTGGTTCAGGTGATTGACCTTATTTGTTTAAAGAAGAAAAAGATAAAGAGACTGAGTAAAAACAAAATGTTTTCCATCAGTTAACGTAATCAAACATCAAACGTACCTGAGGTAACCTCTTCTGCTGAGGATTGCTCATCTTGAGCTCATCCTTCCTCATGAGATAGTAGCGCATGATCTGGTTGTAGGGATGGTCCAGGGTGGTGTGATGACACTCGTCAAGGATAAGCTGATTAAGGTCAGTGAGATCCAGCGTCCCCGCCTTTATAGTTAATATAACCAAATCAAGAATCAGTTCACACTGCAGAGAAATTGAAAAATGTTGACACCAAAATATATACCAGCCAACCAGAGTATAATCACAAGTAAATTTAGTAACTCTTTGCCATAAGACAAGCACAGCAATTTTCAATCCACTTGTGTCGTGCCATAGCTATGTACCTAGGCCAATATGTATGTAGTGCTTTAGAAAAGAGAGAAATGTTTACACTTTAATGTACACCATGTGAATATGCAATTTATGTTCATATTTATGTAGTATTGGATAATACTAATAGTTTTTAGGAATCGACTAGTATTATTGCATTGTCATTGTTGCCATACATACATTGAATCTTGTACAACTGTCGAGCAATATCATTCATTCATTCACCTTCAGGGAGTTGACAACAATCTGTGCAGTCAGCATCACGATATCTTTTTTCTTCAGGGTTTCGCTGAGCTCTTCGGTGTCCCCGATTTCTTGAACCACTCCCAGAGGGAAGAGCATCTCATACTGATCCTTCTGCTGCTTGGTGAGGTTTCTGATAGGCACGATGAACAAGGCCTTGAAGGGGAGACCTTTTGCCTTAGCTTCGCTCCAGGCTTTTTTAGCCGTCAGCGCGCTGACTAGAGTCTTACCGCTGCCGGTAGCACACGTGATGATCACATTCTTCCCTAGAAGAGCAGATCTTGCTAACTCCTTCTGGTATTTTCTCAGAGTTACCTTTTCTGAATTCTGCCCTTCTGGCAAATCTTGTTGTGCCACGTCTTGCCAGTTAGGACTTGTAGCTCTCGTAGCCTCAGGAGATGTAGACACAGACCTTATCTTAGGTCTAACCACCGGGCCTGTCTCTAGGTCTTCAAGCTTGGTGGGTGAGTCAACTTCCAGGTCTTCTCCTGTCTTGTCGCCACTACCAAGGACTGGAGATTGGCCAATGTTGCTACTGATTCCACTTGGGCTCTGGTAGGGGATGTCGCGGAGTGTCCTATACTCTAGAGGAGACGCAGCTTCTTTAACACCCTGCATGTCACTTGGCGAATCTTCAACTACATCGTCATCGAGATTACGCGTAGTACTAGGGGAAGACTGGGTGGGGGTGTTGCTGTTGTTAGACTGTTGCTGTAGTGGTGTTCTTGAAAGTATTCCAGCTTGTTGTGAGGAGGCTACAGCTTGCTCCTCTTCCCACCATTTGTTCACCTCCATCAGGTCGAGATCATTTTCTTCATTCAACGATGCCCCCTGGTGGATTCTAGTAGGAACTGCAGGAAGTTGAGCTGCGTGGAGTTGTTGCTGCACCTCGATATGGCTGGTGGTCTTGTCCATGCTGCCTACTGTGTCTGGAAGGTGAAGTTGGCCTAACTGTTCTTGGATCTCTCCTACACTTGTCATCTTTTCTTCATTCTGGATTTCTTCCTGTTGATGCTTTGCCCTGTGTAAGGCTTCTGTAGCATCACTGGTTTGCTGACGGAACTCGGTCAATGTGGGGGCTTTGTCGAGACTACCCACTGTGTCGGAGCCAAATTGGAACTGTTTGGGAGATGTAGGGATATCTTCATGCTCGCTTCTTTGTGCTTCACTAGCATGCTCCCATTGTTCTCTCATTTCATGCGTGGTTGCCTGTTTACCCTCCAAGTGCGACTGTACTTCTCCATGGCATAGGAGCTGTTTTGGAGGGGTTTGGTAAGTTGACATACCTGGATGAATGAAAGAAACAAAGAAACAATAAATGAATGAATGAATGAATAAAAGAAAGAAAGAATGAATTAATGAATGAACAGTTAATTGTTGCACAAACACACACAAGAAGCATTTCACAGCCTCATCACTGAATTGCATGCTCCTTTACAATTTTTTCAAACAGAATTCTTGATTTCTTTAACATTACTCTAAAATTACAATTAAAAGACCAAACAGTTCAAATTCAAAACACTGTTACCTGTTGATTGCATGCCCCTTTAAAATTTAAAAAAATGGTTTGATTATCTTTAGAATTAATCTAAAATAATTACAATAATCAAAATTTGACAACAATTAAAATTTAAAACACTGTTACCTGTTGATTGCATGCTCCTTTACAAACATTTTCAAAACAGAATTCTTGATTTTAACATTACTCTAAAATTACAATTAAAATTCGACAACAATTAAAATTCAAAACACTGTTACCTGTTGATTGCATGCTCCTTTACAATTTTTTTATTTTGATTTCTTTAACATTATTCTTAAAATTACAACTAAAATTTGACAACACTTAAAATTTAAAACAATGTTACTTGTTGACTGCATGCTCCTTTACAAATTTTTTAAAAACAGAATTTTTTATTTCTTTAACATTCCTCTAAAATTACAATAATCAAAATTAATTTGACATCTACAATTTAAACCACTGTTACCTGTTGATTGCATACTCCTTTACAAACATTTTATAACAGATATATTTAACATCACTCTAAAATTACAATTAAAATTCAAAAACAATTAAAATTGAAAACACTGTTACCTGTTGTGGGGGCGTGTATGGGGACTTGTTTAGGGATGGTGTCATGTGGAGGTGTAGGAGGGCTGGCAAGGGGTCCAGGATGTGGGCTGCCTGTTCCTGGGGTAGACGTACTTTGTTGAGGACTTGTTGGGGCATCAGCATGTTGGGGGGATGATATCGGTGGCCGTGCTACAGTTGGGGCAGTCTGCAGATTTGGAAGAGGTGGTCTTGCTGAAGGATCTGGGTACTGTTGAAACTGGTTTGCCGAGGAAGGCTGATGTGGTGATACTAGCTGCTGTGTGTTTTGTTCTGTTATAATAGAGAACAAAATCAGTCTCTCAGCTACATGTAGGCCACATTACTTTTACAATCACAATTTTATCATAGTGGGTTGTAACATATCAAAAACTAAATATTTGTGAAATGTGTTTTTGACCAGGCAAGAAAAGTTCAACCCGTAGCAAACACACACACAAACACACACACAAACACACACACAAACACACACTGAAACACACACACACCACACACACACACACCACACACACACACTGAAACACACACACACAAACACACAGTCACACACAGACACACACTGAAACACACACACACACACACACACACACACACACACACACACAAAAACACAGACACACATGCATACACACACGCGCAAAGATTATACACAGTTTTTTCTTTAGATTGGTTTTATCGGAAAGGGGCTTAAAATGTAAACATGGAGGTACTAGTAAGTGTAAACGCAGGTTGGGGAGGGCGTGCATCCGGACCTTGGGATGTCATATGACTGGCATTCTAACTTTTGTACCTTACGATTGTCCTGACATTATCGCATTGTTTGCCATGGAAACGTCAATCTACATTTGCTAAGAATAAAAACCTACCATTCCGAAGCGTTGTGAGTAGATCCAAGAGGTCATGACGGCCGATCCCATGTTCGCCCAGAAGGTATTCAAGGAAGCTGAAGTCAGTCTCTGTGATCCTCCCGATTTTTGTGAGCTCTCTGAACAGCTTTATGGGGGTGTCGACCTCTTCAAGTGCACCGTGACCAATTGTACCAGTGCAAAGAAACTTCATGCCCTCTAAGTCGTCATTTTTGTCCAGATCCCGAGCTATTTTGAACAAAATACTGTAGAGCTGTTGCGGCGCGTTGTTGCCCCTGGCCGCCATCTTGTTTCTTGTCAGTTTCGGGAGAGTACCTGAGGGGGATTCCCCTACCTCGGAAAGTCTGGAATGACGTAATCGACCGAAAGCGCGAAATTTCAATCACCCAAATGCCCCAAAATGACACATTACTAGCACGCATTAAAGCACTTTCAAACTCACTCCACCAATTTTAAAATATAACCGCATGAAACCGTACTATTAATCGATAATAGACATTGGACCAACCAGCTACAAGTGCATGACCTTTGGACTGCGTTGTATTCATAAAGTCACCCTTTGCACAATATTAAAATCGTGGCCTTTTAGAAATTATTATAACGCATTTGCAAGCTAGTAATGATATAACTAAATACCTGACCAAAACACTCTTTTGGTTCATGGAATATGTGGTGCAGGTGTAGCAACAAAACCCCATACATGCTCCTTGGCAGGTATAAAGGTCATGCGATGCGAAAGTTCGCGGCCTCGAGCAACACGTATAAGCATGTGTCTAGTTTTGATCGTTCTTATTGAACGCTCTGTTATGGTGTAGCAATTGTGTGCAATTGAAACTTCTGATGCACATGGCACAGTGATAATTTAACGAACTGGGCTAGCGTAACAAAAGATACCAGTGCAAAAAAGAAAGCCCGATAAAAAAGCCTATAAATCAACACACCAAAAATAAGCCAAAACTCAAACCTCTGCTTGGGGGAAAACATCTATTTGGAGAGCACATCCCGAATTGGCGATGAGCTTTTTTACAGATTTATCTCATATCATTACAAAAACTCCTACACGCTATTCTTCTACAACTTACAAGGCCTAGACACTAGTACTGGGATTTTTTAATGCCATCTCCATGCCCCAGCACCAATGGTGTGTAATGGTGTTTGGTGGATTTATATGTTTTTTTTTTTGTTTGTTTTTTTTTTGTCTGGTTACGCTCCCAGCGCACAATATACCCACCTGTTGACGCCTCTCCAATTCCTGGGTAACGACCCCAAAAGGAGGCACAAGGACGGGCCAAGATAGGCTAGTGGTGGGGGTGTTACGTATCTGGCAGGTAGTGTACATGTAAATGCTAGTTCAAACCAGACATAAACAAACGTGGTTAAGACCTAATCCTCTTTGTATATGCATTTACCCCACCCGTATCCCACCAAGCCCGACCTGAAAGTTTAGAGGTCACGCGCACTGCCTGATGGATCAAGTTGGAAAATAATGTCGTCAGCAGATATCACCTAGCAACGTGGTCACCTGATACGAGTGAAACCAACTTCCAAGAAGAAATTTGCTCGAGCGGATCGCGGAGGACTGCTTCATGATCGCTGAAAGTGGCGACTAAGCTACGTACCAAACACTGTGAAACTAGTGAACACTGACGAAAGCTTTAGCTAGCACCACAAGATGGCGAGTAACATAACTGACGACTTTGGCGACCAGTTCCTGACGTGCGCGATCTGCATGCTGAACTTCCGGGACCCCAAAATCCTGCCATGTCTGCACAGTTTTTGTAGGGAGTGTCTTCAAGAATGGGCCACCAAACAACAGCCACTGGAGTGTCCAACCTGCCGCGAACCGGTCAGGCTACCAGACCAAGGCGTGGACGGACTCAAGACCAACTTCTACGTCAACAACCTGCTGGACTTCGCGGCGGCCAAGAAAGGGGCGGAGCCAGGTGTGCCGTGCCAGGTGTGCGGGGGGAATGTGGAGGGGTCGAAGTCTTGGTGTGCGGATTGCGCTACCTTACTGTGTGGGGCGTGCACCAGCGTACACCGGAACCTTCCGTGTTCCAAAGATCACGAAGTTACCACCGAAGAAACCCTCAAGGCCGAGGAAGCTATTAGCAAATTTAATCGTAAGCGACACTGCGACAAGCACAAGAAGTATGAGCTAGAGTTCTACTGTGAGAGTTGCAAGGCTTTGGTTTGTACGGCGTGTACCGTGGTCGACCATCGGCCGGGCAAAGATCACAATCCCGTAGAAATCGCCACCGTGGCTCAGAAAAAGAAGGCAGAACTGCAAGGACTTTTTCAAGACATAGACCCACGACTGAAGGAAATACAGAACGCTGTAAAGGAAGTTGACCGAAAGATGTCTCTCTTGGTGCCATCGAAAGAAGAAGCCACCGACCAAGCCAAGGCGTACTTCCGTAAACTTGTCGACCTTCTGCAAAAGCGGGAAGACGAGATTTTGAGCCAGATTGACGAGCAGTGCCTAGCAGACGGCAAGGCTCTACAGACAAAGAAGGAAGCGATAGAGTTTGAGTTGGTCGGACTGACGAGCGCACAAACGTTCTGCCAACAAGCTGTGGAACACGGAAGTGACGTGCACGTTTTGGAGGTGGGAAACCAAGTCCAAACAAGGGTGGAAACTCTGCTGGCAAAACAGCTGGACCTGGAGTCCGACTGGAGCGAGTTTCAGTTCGTCGAGAACACAGTTATTGTTGACGTCGAAAAAGAAGTCGACAATTTCGGTGGCGTTAAAACAAACGTCGACGTTTCCAAGTGCAACGTTTCTGTGAAGCCAGCAGTCCAGGGGTTTCCGTGCGTCGCTGAACTGACAACAATGAGCCAAAAATGCCGCCCGCGTGTTACGAATAGTAAAGCCGTCGAAGCTAGCATGAAGGACCCGTCTGGGACCGACGTCCGGGCACAAGTACAGATGAAGAGCGAAGGCTTGTGGGAAATCTCGTACACACCTGAGCTAACGGGTAACCATAGGTTAGAGGTCAAGGTCAACTCGCAACAAGTACCAGGAAGTCCGTTTGATGTTGATGTGAAGGGGAACCCAGTGTTGACTATCGGACAGAAGGGCAGCGGGGTGGGGGAACTGAATGAACCGATAGGTGTCGCTGTTGATAAGGACGGCAACATTGCAGTCGTGGAGAAAGGGAACAAACGGGTTCAAGTCTTAGACGCGAACACAGGTCAGTCTTTGCGTAGCTTCCCAGTTGGTGGCGAGAATCCAGTCGGCATCGATGTGGACTCCCAGGGAAGGTTTCTTGTGACGTCGTGGGGCGAAAATTTCGGACTAAGGCGCTACTCCAAGGATGGCAAACTCTTGAACACGTTTCAGTCTGACTGTCTGCGCAGCCCGCATGGCTTGACAGTTCTGAAGGATGGCCGCATGGTGGTGGCGGATGTCAGACAGAAGTCCTGTCTCCTCCTGCAGCCTGACGGGAGCCTCATCCGGGAGATCGGCAAGGGACAGTTACAGGATCCACTGTACGTGTCGGTAGACGAATCACGTGATGTGGTGTTTGTCACAGACAAGAGCGCACACAAAGTAGTCGCGTTTGACCTGGATGGAAACCGAAAGTTCGATTTCGGCAGACAAGGTGACGAGGATGGCGAATTCCAAGACCCAAGAGGTGTAACAACAGACCAGGAAGGTAACATCATTGTAGGTAACAGAGGAGACGGCCGTGTGCAGGTGTTCGTGCCTGACGGGACTTTCAAACAGAAAGTGGGACCAGTCGACGGGGGTTGTGCCACTGGAGTCGCTCTGACTACCGATGGTTACATAGCAGTGGCATGTTGGAATGGACATTGTATAGAACTGTACAGGTACATATGAGCGGCTATCACCGAGTCAATCGCCATTGCACATCAGCATATGTCTTGACCAGGTGTTGAAATGTACTGTGTTTATCATTTTCTTTTTTTTTTTGTTATAAGATTTTGCATAAAATTAATGATGTTTAACTTCAAGTCATACATGGCACTAGTGTACTGCATGCTACATGTATATGACATGTTAAAGGCTTAAAATAATGGCGAACAGAGTGAGGAGTTAAACCCACAACCTTGTGTTCTGTGGTTCCAAATGTTGTTAAATACCATACAATACTAGGTAAAAATATATGTTATGTGCTTGTTCAAGTAATTGTTTTATTCAAATCACATAAAACATCGTCAGCACCAAAGCCACTTGCCATTTCCAACTTTTAGTCATTAAAAACGGCTTTACTGTTCACACTTATGATTCTAAAAATATAAAAACAACCATTGGACCATGCACATTATCCTCATGAGGTGCTGAAAAATGATGCATTCTTTTAGACCTAGTGATTGCAAAATAAGTTTCATATTTAAACGCTAATTAGTTTAACATGCAGCAAAGGTGACTGTTAGAATGAAAGTTCTGAGGTAGACCGAATGTATCTTGACATGATTATTATAAAAAAACTGAGTAAAACAGCAATGGTGCAGTGTGTGTCCCTCCTTTCAACTCTCATCCTGGCTGTCAAGCCTGCCAACACTAAGAAAGCAAAGTCCCCGGCAGAATGTCATACAATCCATCCCAACTAGTAGTGTCTCGCATAAAAGGAGGCTAGAAAACCATCTACTTGGAGAGCAAGTCCAAAATCACACAGCAATTTATCTGTTATGACAAAAGGGACAAAACGTTCAGACCAACACTGAGTACATTGAAACGTACCCAAATTATACATTACCCCACCCGTATCCCACCTAGCCCGACCTGAAAGTTTAGAGGTCACGCGCACTGCCTGATGGATCAAGTTTGAAAAGAATGTCGTCAGCAGGTATCACCTAGCAACGTGTTTGTCTTTGTCACCTGATACGAGTGAAACCAACTTCCAAGAAGAAATTTGCTCGAGCGGATCGCGGAGGACTGCTTCGTGAAGAAAGTGTCGACTAAGCTACCTACATATGCTCAGCCAGTGAACACTGACGCAAGCTTAAGCACCACAAGATGGCGAGTAACATGGCTGACGACTTTGATGACCAGTTTCTGACGTGCGCGATCTGTATGCTGAACTTCCGGGACCCCAAAATCCTGCCATGTCTCCACAGCTTTTGTAGGGAGTGTCTGCAAGAATGGGCCACCAAACAACAGCCGCTGGAGTGTCCAACCTGCCGCGAACCGGTCAGGCTACCAGACCAAGGCGTGGACGGACTCAAGACCAACTTCTACGTCAACAACCTGCTGGACTTCGCGGCGGCCAAGAAAGGGGCGGAGCCAGGTGTGCCGTGCCAGGTGTGCGGGGGGAACGACGAGGGGTCAAAGTCTTGGTGTGCAGATTGCGCAATATTACTGTGTGAGGCGTGCACCAGCGTACACCGGAACCTTCCATGTTCTAAAGATCACGAAGTTACCACCGAAGAAACCCTCAAGGCTGAGGAAGCTATTAGCAAATTTAATCGTAAACGA